CCATACCAATTAGTCACTTAACCTTTCTTATGTACTGGGGAAGAATAGTTACTGCTTTGTGTTTTGCTCATTGCTACTATTGTCTGGGCTGGTGGGGTGAAGGAGCTACTTAAACTCCTTAAAACTTTTTTTTTTTTTTTTTTTTTTTTTTTTAGTTGCAGCTTAAGAAGCCTTTTGCTTTATAAAAAGAATTTGAGATAGTTTTATTCTTTTATAAGGGAAAAGAACATTTGCTAAAAAAAAATAAAAATAAAAATAAAAAAAGTCCCAGGTGAAGTATTATCAGGATATAGTGATGTGCTAGTAGTTGACGCTTCTACTAAAAAATATAGGAAAGTTTATGAGTCTTGTAATTAATATTTTCTGTGGTTGTCATGTTCATTTTTGTAGATTAATGTGTTTCAGGAGTGTATTCAATCACAGGAAATTGGAATTATTTATAGGGTAATATGAGTTACTTCTGCAATTTCTTACTAAATAACTCAATAACTGCTTTTTAGTATTTTGATTTGAAACAACTTTAATATGTGTTTATAAGGGCTTCCTTGTGAGAATAAAGGAACATTAACCAATAGTTATTGGGATATTTGCAGTGCCTTTTGAGAAGAATCATAGCTTATAATTTTAATGTTAAAAATTATTAAGGATCTTAAAGAGTTTTTGTTGATTACTGTTTACTGTGTGATATTAAACTAAGAACATTGTATCTATTACTGTTTACTGTGTGATAAATTAAAACTAAGAACATTGAAAAACATTTAATACTTTTGAAATATATTCATTTTAACATTTAATTTTCTTGACTCTGAAAAGACCAAAATTTATTACCTTGGTTTATTTAAGCATTTACACCATTAATATTTTGTAGTTCTTGTTTGATATCCAACACTGATTTTGAATATTGATGGTTGTTGACACTCAAATATCTAGCTCTTTTGGCCTGAGACCTCCAAATAAGGCAGTGTATTCTTACAGTATTTTCTAAGTATTTTGGTAGTTGTAGTTTTTATTATGAAACATCTGAGTAGGGGATAGAAATGACTATTCTTTTTTTTTTTTTTAATCTAACATAGGATTCATAAGGAATCCAATACAATTTTATAACACTAGATAATCACTAAATATTGATAAGTAGGCAGAATTATTACCATAAATTAGAGTTTCATTTAGTTTTTGGCCAAACAATAGATTTTGCAGTACAAAATAGGGAAAATAATGTAATTGTTTTTTCTTACAACTAGTCAAATGTTACTGTTTTCCACAAACTTCTTTTATTTCAAAGCTACCAGGTTTAATTTCAGACCTAACCTGTATTACTAACCTGTTTCTGCTGCTGCATAAACTAGTAGTAAGAATAACGGTAAGCATTTATGGAGGCTTATTATGTTCCACCCACTTATGTGTTTTAACTGATTTAATTCAACCAACAACCCTATGAAGTAGCTACCATTATCTTCTTTTTATAGGTGAGAAAACGGAGGCACAGAGGGGGCTAAGTAATTAGATCAAGGTCGCTCAGCCACAGCGTTGGAATTCTGATTCAGGCTATCTGGTTTTAGAGGCTATGCTTTTTTTTTTTTTTTTTTTTTTTTTTTTAAATCCCCATCTAAGGATATATTTATTTTTGTTGCTGTTTTTTCTTTTTTTGAGAAAATATGAGAAACATTAATTGGTTGCCTCCCTTGAACCTGCTTTTAACCAACCACTAAACTATATTAAATCAACTAAGTAAACCAACTAACACCCACAATAATAAAACAGAAAATACTGTAGATATTGATCATTTATTTAATGAAGATAATTAATAACTTAATTATGCAACTAGCTTCATACACTCATTTCCCTAGAAATTAAAAATATGTAAGTGGATTTTTAGTTTTAAAAGTAATATATATATTTATGGAAAAATTTTAATAGTATATAAAATTCTTACCCATTTAAATTTCATTTTTAATACTTTATTTTTAGAATAGTTTTAAATGCACAAAATTGAGAAGATAGTACAGAATTACCATATATTCTTATACCCAGTGTCTCCTATTACTAACATTTTACATTAATTAGTATGGCACATCTGTTAATATTTGATATAATGATACATTATTAGTGAAAGTCCTTAGTTTATTCAGATTTCCATAAATTGTTCCTATTGTCTCTTTCAGGATCTTTTCATATTTAGTTAATTGTCATGTCTCCTTGGGCCCTCCTTGTCATGACAGTTTCTCAAATTTCTTCACTTTGATGCCTGTGACTAAGGAATGTAGGCTAGGTATTTTGTAGGATGCACCTTGATTAGAATTTGTCTGGTGTTTTCTCATGATTAGCCTGGGGTTATGGGATATTGGGAAGAAGGAAGATAACAGATGTAAAGTGCCATTTTTATCACTTATCAAGAGTACTTACTATGAACATGATTTATCACTATTGATGTTGACCATGATCACTCGAGTGTCTTAAGTACTACTATACTTCCTTCCATACTCTGCTCTTTAGAAGGAAGTTACTATGCATATGCTTCACCCTTTTTGAGAACAAAATATGTATATTAATTATTGGGAATTCTGTACAAGAGACTGTTTCTTCTCTTTCATTTATTTATTCAGTAATTAGTTTGTACCAGTATGGATGATATTTACTTTATGTGCATTTTCTTGGCCTTTAGTATCAGAGACTGTATTCCACCTTTGGCCATTGGTAGCTCTTTCAGTTGGCTCCAGTGCACTCTTAGCATACCTCTTTAATATGAGGATCTGTTTCTTTCAAGCTCTTACTTTCTGGTATTACAAGATGTTCCTAACTTACGTATTTGCTGCCCCAGACTGAAAATCAGCCAATATCTCAAAGGAGCCCTGGTTCCTTTTATTGGAGAATGCTATTAGAAATTAACCTCAGGGTGCTACGTGTATTAATTATTTCTGTAGTATGTATTCTTTTGGGTCCTCTCAGGTGACAGAGCAAAGAAATGTGTGTATACTAACCTATATACTAACACATATTTTGAAATATTTCTATATGTAGCCACCTATATCTGTATTAAACTAAACACGAATTCGTATTCAAATATCCAACTAATCTATCACCACACATATCATTATAGCTTCCTCCCCCTGCTTAATTATAAGTTTCTACTCCCACAGTGAGATATCTGGCTTCCCTCATCCCCCATCCATTTCTCAGTTGTTCAGTTCCAGCATACATGTATAGCAGTATCATAATTGTTAACCATAACCTTCATTGAAAACACTATCAGCCAGAGTACAGTATTTATGTGCATTTTCTTGGCCTTTAGTATCAGAGACTGTATTCATTTCCAAGAGTACTTAGGCTAGCACCTGATTCCCTGTATTTTTTTTTCTATCAAAATTTGTTGGTTGAATTAGTCAGATTTTCTCTTGAAGACATTGTTCTCTCTGCTTCCATCATTACCTGCACTATTTTTCTGTGCCTTCTCTTAGAATATTCTTCACCTTGATATACACAGCTCCCAGCCTTGTCTGCTCTTCTTATCCTATGTATTTCTCTCTCTTTCTCTCTTTTCTTTTTTGTTAATCCTCATCCAAGGATATTTTTTCCATTGATTTTTAGAAAGAGTGAAAGGGAGGCAGAGGGAAGAAAAGAGGGTGGGGAGAGAGAGAAAGATGTGAGAGAGGCATATCAATTGGTTCCTGCACACACCCCGACCAGGGCAGGCGATCGAACCTGCAACTCAGGTATGTGCCCTTGTCTGGGAATCATATCCCAGACCCTTCGGTGCTCAGGCTGGCACTTGATCCATTGAGACACACCAGCCAGGCCATATTTCTCTCTCTTGATAATGCTGCTAATGAATTGGAATATTTGATGGATGATGTTAGAATATCTTGTTTTTGTTTTTTATCCTATATACAGTTTTTCTTTCTAGTGATTATCTTCTAACATTTTAGAAAAAAAATTAATTGTATAATTATAATAAGACATATTAGAAAAAAAATTTTGTTTGTTTTTTAAGCTATTTCAATAGGGAAGCAGTATAACATTAAGAGAGTGGCTCATTTGGTTGGGTGTCATCACCAAAAGATTGCTGGTTTGACTTCTGGTCAGGGTACATGCCAGGATTGTGGGCTCCATCCCCTGCAGGATGCACCAATAGATGTTTCTCCCTCTATCCTTAAAAATCAATTTAAAAAAAGTACTTTTAAAAAATCTGTGGCTTTAATAATTATACTATATGGTTTAAATTCTGATTTCACAGTCTAGTAGCATTGTGAACTTAGGTGTGCCTCAATTTTCATCTGTATAATAGAGATTTAAAAATTATCTGCCTATAAGTATTAATGTGAAAGTTAAGTGAGATATTAAGTCCTTTTAGCAGTGCCTAGCACATAGGAAGCACTTACTGGTAATAAGTGCTATTATAAAATACTAGTGCTCTGTAAGGTTGCAGAAAGGAAAATTATCTCACAATATTGTATTTAAGGTGGTTTGTCGTTTTGAAACTTTTGAGGATTACTTAAGTATTACAGGGTGATTTTACTTTTTGGTTTGCCTGGAATGGTGACCCAGGAATATGCCTGTAAGTGCTGGTATGATTATGATTAGCACCCCTGTTTTCACTGACTAGAATATTCTGGTTTGAATGATAAATTGTATGTTCTTAAATATTGGTTAATATATCACAAATTCTGTTACCATATATATTAAAAAAATATTAGAATAAAAACACAAAGACAGGAAAAATGTACCATATAAAGTTTCATTAACAGCATATTTTAGGCAGAGAAAACTGAAAATTGATCATAACTATGAGAGCCTTGAAATCCTTAGTGAACTAAAGTGGTTAAAAAAATTTTGAAGGCTATATGCATAAATCATATATAATTGCAATGATGAGAAATGACGTAAAAATATTCGTAGGCAAAAATTGCTTCTACTTGAAAGATGCTTCAGAATGATTTTTCATGCTCTAGATTCCTGAAACTTGGTTTTGGAATCAAATTTAATTTTTTTTCTCTCTTTTTAAGACTGTTTTAAAGAAGTCATTCATATACGTCTGGATGAACTTCTCCGTGTTTTAAAGTCTGTAATGAATAAACATCAGAACCTCAATTTTGTTGATCTTCAGAATGCTGCAGAAATGCTTACTGCAAAAGTAAAAGGTAAGAAAGATTATTAAAAGTGGGTTGGTGAGGATAAAACATCCTAGTGATACATTTTCATTCATATTCACTACGGAGCCATCTCCTCTCGTGACATTAGTATGATGTGTATTGATAGGCGTTATGTTGTGTACTTCAATATTTAATATTCTCACTGTCATACCTAAAACTCTCTTAAAAACTTTTTTTGGGCAGAAAACACTTTAAAAATACTAACTGAAATAAACTGCACAACTGATATTTAAAATGTTTGTGTTTTTAAAGTGTCCATACTCTCTTGAAGTAGGCTAAATGTATACTATTGATAAATGTAGCTTGTTGTGTGAGGACAATTGATGCTAGAAAAGTTATAGTGACTAAACTTAAACTAGGGAACCAAATGGAGAAAAAGGAGACTTAATTTAGACATTATGTAAAGAGTGTGTGTGTGTGTGTGTGTGTGTGTGTGTGTGTGTGTGTGTGTGTGTGTGTGAAAAGCATGTGCTAAAAGAATCAAGAATTGGGACATTATTCTCTGTTAAATGACTTGCTGCCCCAACGTAGTAGAATTTGTTAATCTGGGCTGCAGTATATAAAAAGGATTGAAGTATATAAAGGGAGTTTTGGAGAAGAAATGAGACTGGAGGCACAGAGTTAATTTAGGAGATTTTTAGAAATAATGAGCTAAATGAGGATGGACAGTCCGAGCCAAGGCAAAAGCTGGAATGTGACAATGTACAATATGATTGTTACAGAAGAAGTAATGGATGTTGATTTGATGAAACATACCACGGGTTGAATATTAGGGGTTCAGTTGGAATTTGGAGTTGAAGATATGGACTTGAAAGTTGTTGTTGATGTTTAAGTGGTGATGGAAGAGGATTATACTAGCTCAGCCTGTGCAGAATAAATATTGGACTGAGTATGAGATCCCAGAGACAGAAGATAAGAGGAACCAGAGGAACACCTTAGAAGTAAGGAGATGATCTGGAGAAAGATGTCATGAAATTTAAAAGTGCAAGGTTCTAAGAAGTGATCTTCAGTGTTAAGTGTCACTAATAGGTAATGTGAATCCAAGTAAAGTAACTATAAAAAGGGACTCCCTATGAATTGAATAAGAAAAGGAAAGGCTAGGCTTCATTGTGGAGCAGAATTACCTGTTCTGTCTCAAAGGCCAAGTAGGCATTAACTGAGCAGCAAGAGGGTGGTGTTGGAGACTGATAGAAGAAGCTTGTACAAGAACTCTGGATGTTGAAGAGTATGATATATACTTGGTGAACACACTAATATCTAGAGAGGGCAAATGGCAAGTGTCAAGGGATGAGGCAGGAAGAGCAAAAAAAAACATTAAAAATTTTTCAATAAAACAGTTTATACTTAAGAACTGCCTCCTCTACTTTTGACATAGACCTGTCCTGTTTGTGTGGTTCCCTTTTTTTCTGTATTTCAAGTACTGTGGGGGAAAAGTAAATAATAACTTCTGTTGTAGCTTTTTAAAATTTGCTTAATAGCCACATTTGTTTTTAAATAGACTGTTTATAAGTGCCATTTAACTTAACTTAGATAGGGAAATTTGTGTCTATAGATAGTAAAATTTCCATGCTTAGAAATAGCAACCACAGTTCATTCAATTGTTGTCAGTAGCTATTGTGTGCAGTCAGGATGTCCTGGGGAAGGAGTGTGCTTGTGCATGGTTGGTGTCCACATTCCAGAAACAGACTTGAAGAAAGTGGCCTCTCAGCTGCCTTGAAGATTTATTTTATTTATTTATTTTTTTTTTGGTAGTAAAGCAGTCTTTTGAATATTATTTCCCTCTATGACTGTCTATCCTTGGGATTATTGTTAGGATTTTACTTTTATGTTTGATGAAATTTAAAAGATTACTTTGTTGGGAAACTTATTCTGGTTCAATAGGATTCCATGAAACTAGAGTCTAGAAAACTTTAAAAATTATGTTGTATTTGGTGTAAGTTTGTTTTTAAATACCCTCCCCCCATACACAAACACTCTTAATCTTTTTTTAATATATATTTTATTGATTTTTTTACAGAGAGGAAGGGAGAGGGATAGAGAACTAGAAACAACAATGAGAGAGAAATATCCTGCCTCCTGCACATCCCCTACCAGGGATATGGAATCGAACTTGGGACATTCCAGTGCGCAGGCCTATGCTCTATCCACTGAGTCAAACTGGTTTTGGCAACACACACTCTTATTCTTGAGGTCATCAAAAAAATATATTTGATACCGCAAATGAAAAATATTCAATGACCTAAAAAAATAGATGTCAAATCAGAGCCTATTTAATTCTTTCTTTTGATGATGATTTAGTTTTCCAACCCTGGACAGGCATGGGGGAGGTAAAAACTATTTTTGAATGTCTATTCTGTGTCTAAGTGTTTTTCATAAGCTTCCTACTTTAATATTTTCAAAAATCTGTAAGGCAATTTTTATTTCTATTTTAAAAAGAAGAACATAAAGGAAAACTATTGTATCAGAAAGTGTCAGGAATCTGGAGAATGTCTTGCCATAACCTCCTGATTACATTTAGAAAACAACTATGACTTGTCTTGCTTTGTAGATATTAACTTTCCAATGCATTTTGCAAATATACCAAACTGTTAAAAAATTACGTATAAAGGCAGAACAACTTTAGAATAAGAGAGGTATAAACTTGTTTGTGTTATTGCAGGTTTGAATGCATGAAATTCCTCCACTTCTAAGTATAAGTGAAAAATTGGAATCTGATTCCTCTCATTTTATATTTTAAGTGTGAAATTTACCTCTTATTAAAAGAAAAATCCTTAACTTTCCTCCTTCATTCTAGTAGTGATCTGTATTTCCTGTGTCTCCTGTTTCCAAATAGGAAGTTCAGTCAGATGACATATTTGGAATATGATAAGAGAGATAGATACAGCTTATTTTTGAAGTAGATAAAGACATCTTTAGCATTCAGTAATTGATTACGTACTTATGTATTTTTATTTTCATTAGTATTTACAAATATTTTGGTCTTATTTGTAATGTAAATTAAATCTCATTTGTAATATAAATACTTCATGATCTGTGCTTAGCCTATATTTAAAATTTGGTAAATGAAAAAGAAAAATAAGCTTTATTAACATATTCAAAATTAGAAGCCTCATGTTTTCTTTTTGTTTTGAAAAGTTAATTTTTAATAGGCAATTTATTTATACCAGGAGTGGAGGACTTTTTTCTGCCAAGGGCCATTTGGATATTTATAACATCACTAAAGGTCTGGTGCATGAAATTCGTGCATGGTGGGGAGGTGTTCCTCAGCCCAGCCTGCACCCGCTCCAATCTGGGATATCCCTCTCACAATCTAGGACTGCTGACTCCCAACCGCTTGCTGCCTGCCTGCCTGATTACCCCTAACCATTCCCCTGCCAGCCTGATTGCACCTGACTGCCCTCCCCTGCTGTCCTAGTCTCCCCTAACTGTCCTTCCCTGCAGCCCTGGACGCCCCCAACTGCCCTCCCCTACTGGCCCGGTAACCTCTAACTGCCCTTCTCTGCTGATCTGATCACTCATAACTGCCCTTTCTTGCCAGCCATCTTGTGGTGGCCATCTTGTGTGTTGGAGTAATGGTCAATTTACATATTACCTCTTTATTATATAGGATTCTCAGGCTGTACAAAATTATCTTAAAAATTAGCCTGCAATATTTGGCAAAACATTTAATTCAGCCCTACTGCCTTGGCAGGGCCACATCAAATGATTTTTCAGGCCTTATATGGCCCTCAGGTTGGATGTTTCTCACCTCTGATTTACACAGTTGATAATGGAAATAGTGTAAAAGAGTGTGGAGTGGTGAAATTTTCTACCTCAGATACTTAGCCATCATTACTACTTTACCTAGATAAGCAACAGTTGTTACTGGTTTTTTGTGTATCTTATTATGTATATGTAAGCAAATACAATATGTTCTCTTTTTTCCTTCCTTTTTACACAAATCAAAGCATTCTGCTCCTTGCTAATTGTTCTGAGTTATCGATACATAAAGGGTCTCTTTACTCTTTTATTGTTATTTGTTTTATTTTTTTCAAAGCTGCATAGTAATCCATTATATGGATGTACTGTAATTTATTTAATCAGTTTATTACTAATATTTCTTTGGATTGTTTTCCATTTTTTTCTGTTACAAACAATGCTTCAGTGTTAATTCTTAGATAGGTAGTTACTGGATCAGAGAATGTATGTGCATTTATATTTTGGATATTGCCAAAGTGTCCTCCATAGAGATTTCCCTTTCTGATAGCAGTGCTTGACAGGGCTGATTTTCTGCACCTTTGTCAACAGAGTTGGTTATAAAGCTTTCTTATCCAACCTTTGTATATCTAGTTACAGTAAACATTGGTATATCAGTGTAGATTTGATTTGTATTTTGAGTTTAAGTATCTTTTTATATGTTTCAGAGCCATTTGTACATCTTTTATATCAATTGACCCTTTACCCATTTTTTCCTGATGGTTGGTCTTTTTTTTAAATATTGACTTGTACAAAGTTTGTGTAAGTGGAATTAGTCCTAATCTTTGATATAAGTTGAATATTTTCTTTAGTTTATTACCTTTTCATTTGCATATTTTTTAAAAAAAATTTACACTTAAATTTATCAATCCCTTGTATGGTTTTTTGGTTTTAGAAATTAGGAAGGACTTCTCTGCTCTGAAATTATAATAGCATTCTCCATTGTTCCTTCTAAAGTTTTTATGGTGTCATTTATTAAATAAATCTTTGATATGTTCTAGAGCAGTGGTCAGCAAACTCATTAGTCAACAGTGCCAAATATCAACAGTACAACAATTGAAATTTCTTTTGAGAGCCAAATTTTTAAAATTTAAACTTCTTCTAACGCCACTTCTTCGAAATAGACTTGCCCAGCCCGTGGTATTTTGTGGAAGAGCCACATTCAAGGGGCCAAAGAACTGCATGTGGCTCGCAAGCCACAGTTTGCCAATTATGGTTCTAGAGTATCTCCATGTCTAGCTAATTTATCAAAT